TTTTAGTCTCCAGTTCCTGCATCTTTAAACATTCTGGCAGTAAGAGAGCTTTGCCCCATCTAGGATTCTTCTACTAGGTTTCAGAAAATAGCACTACATCTTGTCCTACTATGGCCAAGACTATCAGCACTGGATTGCCAGATCCTGCTTCCAAATCTTTATTATTAATCATAGTAAGTTTTTAGACTTTCAATTTGCACTTGTTCAAAGTAGAGCATTCTATAGAACAATCAATTTCCAATTGTTACCTGCAGAAAAATTTAAATGTACCTGATAACATAATATGGAAATTTGGTTCCGGTTTTACCTGTTAACTAGGGGTAAATCATTTCTTAATATTTCTCCTCTGAACACTCTCTTTTTTTCTCTTTTGCATCTTTTTCTCTATTATGGTCATTGGCAATGGATAAACCATCTTAAACACATTTTGATGTAAAGTAACACTTTCTGATAGAGTCAGATTTGATCCTGATAGGGTTAGACACTACTATCTAGTAAAATAGTTTTACCACTGATGTTAGAATGCTTTCTATGTAATTCATTAGAAGTTCTCAATAGCAACATTTAAGGGATTTTTATGCCTTTTTATTTTATTCCTGTTAGCTATGGAGAGTCAATATCTTCTTTCCTTCATTAAATAAAGTGGCAAAATTCATAACATTTTTTTAACAGTTAAGGTATGTCCCAAACTAACTAGGAAAGTGGCAATATTGCTCTTCACCCATTAAAATGTTTAGGAGAGAAATAGTTTCTTTATTACCACTGTCTTCTTGTGACTATTTGAGAACCACAATAGCATGTTTCTTCTCCCCCTTGTCAACCTTATCACAGCACAGAGCAGCCTATCAAGTGTCCAATAAACTTAGGAGAACTGACACATAATTGATAAATAAAGAATAAAATAATATTCCCACTAGAAACACAAGATAATTCTAGTTCCTCCACATTCAGTGTTTTGCGTAATCAATTATTTTATTTTAGTTCTTACAGAGACTGCATCATCATATTATTTTAAATTACATTTTCTTAATGACTAAGAAGTTTGAGTATGTTTCATATACTTTTGGCCATTCAGATATAATTTGTTGTGAAGTAGATTATAGTGTCTTGTTCCTTTTTTCTATTGGGTTGTCCATCTTTTCCTTATTTATTTGTAGACATTCAATATATATATATATATATATATATATATATATATATATATATATATATATATATATATATTTGTCTAGATATGACTCCTCAGTTGATTATAACTGGGGCAGATTTCTTCTTCCACTCTGGTTTCTTTTCACTCTCTTGTTTACACACTTGAAGAGAATTTCATAATTTACTGAAGTCCAATTTATAAATGTTTTCCCTAATGATTAGTGCCTTTTATGGCCCAATTAAGAAATCATTCCCTGGCCCAAGATCAGGAAGATAATTTCCTTGTTTTTGTCTAGAATCTTAACTGGTTTCCACTTCGCATTTAGATCTACAAGTAAAAAATGCCTGGCAATAATTCTTTTGTGTTTGCTGTGAGGTAGAAGTCCAAGATTAACTTTCTTCCTACTTATATAACAAATTGACCTAGTTATTTGAAAATTCTGCCTTTACCCCTACACTTTAGTGCCACCTTTTCTCTAAATCAAATGGCTAGTACGTCTGGGTCTACTTCTTAATTTTAATTCTGCTCCATTAAACTACTGGTACATTTATCATTGTACCAAAACCAAATGCTTGCATTATCATAGCTTTATATTTTCATTCAGAATAAGTCCTATAATTTGTTCAGAATTACCAGTAGACTTATGCATTGAATCCTCCTCTTCCATTTCACATCTCATCTTCAAAGAATTTTCACCTTGTGCCATCAGACATATTTGAATAAAATCTAAAATAGAAGGGCAAAATATATTTTTAAAAGAAATTTTGCATTTATTTTGTAAGAAACTGTTAGTCAGCTTTTAATCATTATGACCAGAATACCTAAAAGACCAATTTAAGAGGAGGAAAAGTTTATGTTGGATCATGGTTGCAGAGGACTCAATCCATGATGAGTTAAAACAATTGATCTGGTCCTGGGGTGACACAAAACATCATGGTAGAAGGGCATGGAGGAACACAGTTGCTCAGTTCAGGGTAGCCAGGAAATTGAGAAAGAGCTAGTGTCAGGGACAGATATAGTCCTGAAGCCATGCCTCAATGAACTACTTCCAGCCATGACCCACCTACCTATAGTTTTTCATCACTTCCCAGTAAATTCATTGAAATTATTAATCCATCAAATAAGATAATCCACTAATGAGATCACATGCTTCATAATCCAATCATTTCATCTCTGAATATTACTGCATTGACTAACACATGAGCTTCTAGGGGCAATATTCCGGATCCAAATCATAACATTCCATCCCTGGGACCCCAAAATCTCATGACTACCTCACAATGCAAAATTCATTTTTGTCCATCTACAAGAGTACCTATAATCTCCATAGTTCCAGCATTGCTCTAAAATCTAAGTCCATAGTCACCTACAAGACTCAAGGCAAACCCTTAGCTGTCAGCTCCTATAAAACTTATAAAGCAATTTACATGCTTCCAATATACAAGGCACAGAGGAAACACACTTACATTATCTCACACATGAGCTTTTGGGGGACATCTCACATCTAAACTATAACACTATGTCATTCTGCAAGACAATTAACTTCTTTTTAGTGGTGGTAGTCTCTTCAACAATCCTACTTCCTTGATTCCAGTTTTAATGCTTTGTCTGGCCAGACTGCAAGCCAACCACCACATACTTCAGTTTCTGGACGTCGAGTTTGGGAACTTAACATTTGCCCCACTGGGTTTCGACTTTGCTTTGGTCCCATTCCTTCTTGCCCCTATTCCTCCCTTTTGGATGGATTTTTTCTCTGTGCTATTGTATATTGGAAGCATGTAAATTGCTTTATAATTTTTACAGCTCACAGCTAAGAGTTTGCCTTGAATCTTGGAGGAGGCTTTGGGCCCAGAAGCAGAAAGAACAAGCAAGGAAGGGGCCACAGGGGCAATGCATCCTTTCAGGGCACACCCCCAGTGATCCATCTCTTCCAATCATGCCTCATCTGCTTACAATTACCACGCAGTTTGTCGGTTCAAACTAGGATGAACTGATTGGGTTATAGCTTTCATAAGCCAATTCTTTACCTCTGGATATTGTTGCATTTACACAGGAGCTCTTGGGGATACTCTATATACAAACCATAACAGAGGGTTGATCTTTTCCACAGCCCCTCTCTCTCTCCCATTCCCAGCTGCCATGAGTTGAACAGCCTTCCTTTGCCTCATCCTTCCATTATGGTGTTTCTGCCTTGAACGCAGATGACCAATGGCTGAATCCTCTGAGAACATGAATCAAAACATATCCTTCCTACTCCAAGTTGCTCTTGTCAGACATTTTGTTTACAGTGACACATAGGTGACTAACAAATTCTATTCAGTTTATTTCATGTGAGATCAGTTTATTTCATGTTAGATTCAGGTTATACATTTCTGTAGGATGTCACTGAATTAACATTACATTCAATCAGTTGAAACTCAATTTGAATTTATCCCATGGCTTGTCATCTGTTGCATATATGGTGCCCAGCTTTTTTACTTATCCTTGGAAGGTTGAATTTGGAAAAGCCTGCTTGCCACAACTGAAAGCTGAATACTCTATGTAGAATTTCTCAGTTATACTTGAAAATAATCTTGCTAGTTAAGTTCTAATTTCATAAATAAGGTGCTTGGTTTCAAATTTTATTTTGAACTAGTTGATGCAGTGTGCCAAAGCCTAGCTACTAGAAAACCAGGGACATTTCAAATAGCTCACTGAAATTTGGGGGTGGGGGGGGTATAGACCATAAAGTTCATTCAAAGTACAAAAGACAGAAGAATAGCCTAAAGTAATTTGAAAAACAAACAAAAGAGTGAAAAGGAAGATTATTTTTATTTGTAGAGAAACCTAGCCAGTTATTTTTCTGATAGAATAGGGATTGAATATCAAGATGCATGATTAATCAGAGAGTTCCTGCAGACAAAACTCAAGGCAGAGAGACATTAGCTTGCAGGACAGTTATGCAAGCAAAAAGCCTGAGCAAACACAGCAGAAACCATAGAAACAAATATTTTCAACCTCCAAAGATCAAAAAGGAATAAGAAAATAAGTCATCATGGAACTGAGCAATCAGATTTGCAAAAAGTACCAAAGCTCCAGGGTCAATGACTGTTGAGTAGAGAAAAAACAGGGAAGAGAAAATCTAAATGGAAATAGTGCCTTATGAGTGTACCAAGTGAAATGTGCAATGAGAGGCTAACCTTTGATTTGCCACCAACTCCTTTCAGCTGTGAAATCTCAATACCCTGGGGGAAAACCAACTTACCTTTGATACTAGAATAGCTGGATAAAGAGACTGATTACAAAGAGAAAAAGGAAAGAAAACTGTGCACCAAAGCAGAATATTGGGGGAAAGGGAGGGGGCTTTCACCTATTCTTTTGGATATTAACTGCATGTTATGAACTAACACGCCAAGATCTGGGTGGGGACTTAACATGAAAAGCCTTGTGTTTCAGCTTCTTCTACTGGCAGGTAGAGGGCAAGGCAGGGAGAACAGCATAAATATTATCACCCAGGGTTTCTTCCATTAGGGTGTATGTATCAAAACAGACGCTCAAGTTTGGGTTGTGTGCTTCATCATATCTCACAGAATGCATAGCTCCTCTTGACAAAGAGCCAGAAAATAATTCAGTGGTGTTTATGATGTTAAAGAGGTCTAGGGGAAATTATATAGAGTGATAAACCAAATGCTTTGGTCCTTTTCCTGAAACAGTTCTATTATAGAGACACATTTCAATAACGCCTCAAATGTATACCCCAAGTTTTAAAGAATATATTCTGCCTCTAAAGTTGGAAATATTGCATTTTTATGAAAGATTCAATAATTTTATGACAAGGCATTTTATCTCCAATCATGTAATCACCTTTCAGATTATATCCTCTGGGACCTGTGGTACAGATAAGCACATCCTGGAAGGAAAAAATGAAGTACCATTTCCTGCAATTTTGGGTCATGAGGGAGCTGGGATCGTGGAGAGTATTGGAGAAGGTGTAACCAGTGTGAAACCAGGTAAGTAAGGGCCAGATAGGGTGTCAACTCCTATTCAAATTAGCTTTTCAATTATTCCCCAACAGCACTGTAAAATACGGAATCCATCATACTTCCACAAAAACATTAAAATGCATTCACATACCAGATACAGTGCACGATATAAGTAACCTAAAATAGAATCTTCCAGTTTGGGTTTGGGTAGCTGAGACAGGAGGATCGCGAGTTCAAAGCCAGCCTCAGTAACTTAGGAAAGCGCTAAGCAACTCAGTGAGATCCTGTCTCTAAATAAAATGCAAAATAGAGCTGGGGATGTGGCTCAATGGTAGGTCGAGTACCCCTGAGTCCATCCCTGGTACCCTCCCTCCCCTCCCCCAAAAGAAACAGAATCTACTCCTTTCCGTACAGATTATGGCAAATCTATTATACCCAAAATTAAACTAAGAATTGAAAATATATACAATGTATTGTAACACCAGTAAATTTAAAATATGTATGATTCAAAATTTTTTTCTACACACACACACACATAATAATCTAATAAATTGTCTGGAATAAGTTATCATTTATAAAAGTTTCTTTCGGGCTTTGTATTTGCATTTTCATACTGTTCATGTTTCAAAAACCCTACTATGTTAAATATTATTCTAACAATAAACACATAGATATTTTAAAACCACTTTGTGAGTAAATAGAAGCCTTGGCAAGATAATCATTTTGTTAATTTAGCTGCTTAATGGCAGAGTAAGGATTAAGGACACAGGAAGCCTTCCCTCAAATTTTAGACTCTTGTTCAGTTATAAATATTTCATAATGAATATTAATTCTTGTATTAGTATTGGAGAATTAACTCATTGTTTCAACAAATATCAAGTATATATTAAATGCAAACTTGATCTTTCTCCTGGGATAGAACACTACCAAAATAAGTCAGGCACTTTGGCACATACCTGTAATCCCAGCTACTTGGGAGGCTGAGGCAGGAGGATGGCAAGTTCAAGGTAAGCCTAAGTAACTTAGCAAGATCCTGTCTCAAAATAAAAACTAAAAAGGGTTGGGGATGTATCTCAGTGATAGAGTACCCAGGAGTAATTCAATCTCCAGTACAAAAAAAATGCTGTCAAAACAGAAGAGCCTTATACCGCATATATTGATGCCACTGTCTTACCTTTGAATCCAATTTTATGAGACATAAATTCCCCCACTTTTTTCTATTTTGAAGATCCATTTGCATTAAAATTGATTTGTTTCTATTCCAAAATGAAATTATGAATGACTTCAAAGATAATGATAACTTTCATTACAACCAATCACAAACATTTACTATGAATAATATCTTATAGATAAAGGTGGGGTTTATTACATTCCATGTCTCCACCCAAGTTGGTAATCATTTTCTTTGTTCTTTTTCCTTAGGAGATAAAGTCTTAATATTCCTTATTCCAGAGTGCAGAGAATGTAGTTCTTGCTTGCACCCCAAGAGCAACTTCTGCTTGAAGCAAAGGTTAGTTTCAATTTCTTTGACTTTCTGTTGAGAGCCATGGCCAGGTCAAGATGGTGCCTGGCATTTTCCCAGAACCAGCGGTTCCTGCTGCCTCAGGTGCCTGCTATTTTTGAGCTCTCCCAGAGTTCCTAGAGAGTTCACATGGGTTGGTTGAGTTCCAGTTGGGCGGAGTTCCTAGAGAGTTCGAGTGGGTGGAGTTCGCTGGGTTGAGATCCAGTTGAGTGCTGGCAAAGTTCCCAAAGTTCAGGTGGAGCTCTTGGGGAGTTCTTGGGGAGTTCCTGGAGAGTTCCAGTGGGCAGCTGCTGAGTGGGTTCTAAAAATAAAGTTCATTCCTGCTTGAATCTTCAAGTGGCTCATGATTTGTGCCCAGCCAGACTGCAGCAACTTTCTTTCACTCCATTTGTTTTCATTGGTACAGTTATCGACTTAGAGCTAAATCCTTTATTTCTCTTTTTGTCACTATGTATCTGTGGAACAGTATTCTTCCTCCAACTGGATTAATGTTAGATGGAACCAGCAGGTTTACCTGCAGAGGAAGGAAGATTTATCATCTTTATGGCACAAGCACATTCACTGAATATACTGTGGTACATGAAATTGCAGTGGGGAAAATTGATGATGATGCTCCCATGGATACAGTCTGTATCCTAAGCTGTGAGGTCCCTACAGGCTTTGGAGCTGTATTTAACATTGCAAAGGTAAGAATGTGCTTCTGTGTTGTTTTCAGTGACACTGTCTATATAACATCTAATTGAACTCCGTTCTCTAAACTTCTCTGAACTTCTTCCATCACAGATAAAGCCAAAGAGGCCTTTTCTTGCCTCACAAGAGGAAAGTTCTTTCAACACAAGAGCATCGGCTTTGGATGCCTAATTATATTCTATCCTCTGAATTTGCAGGTCACCCCAGGTTCCACCTGTGTGGTTTTTGGACTTGGAGGAATTGGCTCAGCTGTCGTCATGGCCTGCAAAGCCTCTGGTGCTTCTAGGATCATTGGGGTTGACATCAAGGAGGAGAAGTTTCCTCGGGCAAGAGCATTAGGAGTCACTGATTGCCTTAATCCTCAAAAACTCAAGAAACCTGTCCAGGAGGTGGTGGTAGAAATGACTGGCAAAGGTGTTGACTTTGCCTTCGAGGCCATTGGACTTATTGATACCATGGTAAGTTATCTTGAAGCACTGCCTGTCAATATGAGTGTACACATTAACTTCATGAAGACATTACTATAATACTTCATGAAGACATTACTATAATTTTGGTTTTGCTTTGCCTATTTTTTTTTTTTTTTGTGTGGGCACGTTGAAATTGTTTGAGTGCTAGGGATTGAAGTCAGAAACATATAACCATGCACTCTACCTCAGCCCTGATAAAATTATTATTATTGTCTCTAATTTTATTTTGGAACTGGGGATTGAACTCAAGGCATTTTACCACTGAGTTACATCCCCAGCCCCCCCCCCTTTTTATTTTATCTTGAGACAGGGTCTCACTAAGTTACTGGGACTGACCTTGAAATTGCAATTCTCCTGCCTGAGTCACTGAAATTGCAGGCATGTACAACAGTACCTCCCCCCACCAAAAAAAAATACTATAACTAAAAAAAAAAAATGAACGCATCTTTTATACTTAGTAATGTGCCAAGTAATTTATATATTTTATCCCATCTAAACTGTATATCATTTTTACTAGCTGAGTAGTAACATCATCCTCATTTAAAAGATTGAAAAACTTTCATTAATCATAATGAATTTAAGCAATTTGTTCAAATCATAGTGAGTGTCCTGAATATTGTCCTATTCTATATGATTTTTCCCATACATCCTCCCTGAGAACATGTTCTGCAGTTGTGAGTTGAAGATTTAGGGCTGCTGAGAAGCTAATCCATCCATCTCTGAAATTAGGTCGCAACTTTGGAATCGTGCCACCCAAGCTATGGAGTGGCTGTGATTATTGGATTAGCACCCACAAATTCACAACTCATTTTTGACCCAACGCTGCTTCTCTCTGGGAGAACCCTGAAAGGTGGTGCTTTGGGAAGTGAGTATTTTACTTTCATTTTGCCTTTTCCAGAAACCTATACATCCTGTGTGCTTGTTGGCAAGCAGTGGAGGGGAAGGAACATAGGAAAAATAATCCTCTTTGAAAGGAAATAGAAGACAATGTACCAAAAATAGGAAAGTACACCTTTACCTCCCCACACTCGTATTTATTACCTAGAGAAGCAAAAGTAGATGGGCTTAACATCATTCATAAGATACAGAAGAGTCACTTCTTAGGGTGCTCATTGGCACCCTCACATTCTGTAATTGGTGGAGAGCTACAATATTTTTCTGAACCACTCCCCAGTACAGAATAAGATGAGAAGAAAATCTTGCTGTGTTGACCCTTAGTTCTCACCTCAACAATGACCCTAAGTGTCTTCTTCAGAACAAAACAGGGAACTCCAATGTGCAGTCATACTTGGATATCTCTTCTCCAAATGTCTCCAATTTCCCCTTGTACAACACCCTAGTTGGATTGTTTCTACTCCCTTGAAATCTCACACTATGGAGTAAATTTCAATATGTGAACCCTTGAGGGGCATGCTAAAATCATATCTAAACCATATTATTATCCTTGATTTCATGGAGGAATTTATTCACTTTTTTCTGACATTCATATCTTCCATATCTCCTTCCCCCACACAATATATAAACACACTAAGGAAAATCACAACAAAATTCTCATTCTGGATGCAAAAATGTGTAATGGTCTTTTCCTTTTACTCACTTTCATTTGGTAGATTTCTTAGTTACCAAAAATCTTGCATACCAATAATGTTATAACCCAACATTTTAGTCCAGTTGACCTATTGCTATGGTTTAGAGTTGAATGTCCCTCAAAGATCTATGTGTAGAAGGCAGGTGCTGTGGAGCTTTAAGAGGTGGGTCTTCTGGGAGGTCTTTAGGTCTTTGGGGGCATACCCTCAAAAGGGACTCTGGTGGGACTCCATTCTCCTTCTCCCCTGCTTCCTGACTCATGATGTAAGCAGGTTTTTTTCTAACTCATGTTCCCCATCTAGTGCAGTCTTAGAGGCCCAAAGTAATGTCCTACCCCTCTCCAATCTTGAACTGAAACCTCCAGAAATATGATAACTTTTAAGTTATTTATCTCAGGCATAGCATTGGGAACTGGTTAATACACTTATTAAGAAACAGAAAAATTTTGTAGCCTGGGTTCTAGATAAAGAATACCCTGGCTATCTCTTTTTTTCACAGAGTTCATGTTTTCTTTTTAATTCCATCTTCCCCCAACCCCACATTTTTATTGGTGCATTATAATTGTACATATTGATGAGATATTTTATTACATATACATACATACACACAATACAAAATATAACAATATAATTTGGCCAATATCACTCTCCAGCACTCTCCCTTTCCCTCCCTGCCTCCCACCCCTTGGTCTCTACTGATCTCCCTTTGATTTGCATGAGCTCCAACCCCATCTCTATTTTCCTTTCTCTTCTCTAGCTTTCACATAAGAGAGGAAAGAGGACCCTTAACCTTCTGAATTTGATTTATTTAACCTTTTTTTAGGGGGTGGGGCACTGGATTGACTCAGAGGTGCTTAATCACTGAGCCATATCTCCTGCCTCTTTTTATACTTTATGTAGAGACAGAGTCTACTTAGGGCCTTGCTAAATTGTTGAGGCTGGCTTTGAACTCCTGATCCTCTTGCCTCAGCCTTCTGAGGGACTATGTGCCACTACACACTGCTAACTTCATCTTAATTAGCATTTCATAATAGTCCTAAATAAATTCTAAATGGCTATAAAGAACTGTGCTAGGAATATAAAGACCTGGATTCTACCTTTAACTTTATACTTTCTAAATGTACATTAATGTTGTAAAATATACCTCCATCCCCAGGATTTTAATCAACTATCATAAGAAGACATACACATATATAATTGCCTTGAAAGTAGAGTATATACCCTCAGTTCTTAAGAGAAGGGGGCACTTCACTCCATGCAGGGCCATACAAGGAAGCACTAGGCTCAATCAGGAGATAGAAATTGAAAATCAGGATCAGGTCCTCGTTTCCCTGTTATTGAAGATTAAACACCCAAGAAATGCCAAGGAAAGAAAACAAATTTTATTTAAGGGATATAACAGACACAGACTTCTCTAAAAGGGAGAAGGAGACCCAGAGCTGGTATCCATGGAAGGGGGGTATCCTACCTCTTTCTAGATTTTGGGTTTCCTTTCTTCTCATGCCTTCTCCTCTTCTTATCTTGACTATATGAGCAAAAGACAGGAAAAGAGCAGCCCAAGGGCTGATTGCTTATGTTAGAAAAAACGCCTCTTTCCCCTGCCTGGGGGAGGTGTTAGCCAACAGTTAATGGGAAAGTGCTATCTACCCACTTCCTTTTCTTTGATAATCAGCTACCTATCCTATGCTCTAGTCTCAAAATGACATGGGAATCATGAGTCACTGTCTTTATTGTAATATTTACTGAAAGGAACAGAAGACAGAGTAAGAAAACTCAGAAATTTTAGAATTAACTTGAAATCATTTCAATGGTTTCTGAGCTACAGGGTGTTCTCTAGTTATCTGGTAACTGGCCCTGGGGTAATTTAAAACAGGGATATAGTGTCCCACTGTGAAGCCTGATAAAAGGGAAGGGGAGGGATAGGGCTTAAAGTCTTGGGCTTGTTGGTGTGCATGTCAGGCAAGTTGTTTACTATCCCTTGGAACTAATTAACTTGGAAGGAATGGTTCTTCCCCAGGTCCCCAAGCCCCCAATATGTCAAAGCATTTTAAAATATGGAAAATTTTAAAAATATATATTAATATAATCAGTGAAACATATTTAAGCTCTTTAAACTTTAGTCCTCACAGATATAAAAATGGAGAAAACAATCCCTGCATCTGCCTTGCTCCTGGTGATTATAGTAAATGGGATCTAGGCAGGATTCCAACAGCACCTAACACAGCTACTCTACTTCCCTGCCCTCGAACACCACTACACAATTAGGTTTATTTCAAAGATTGAAATGTTAGGTTTGTGAAGTTTGTTTTTATATATATATATATATATATATATATCCTTAAGTGGTGGGAAACTGTGGTAACTCAAATTGAACCAGCTAGAAGTTAAATTGGTTTAGAAAAAATTAGTGTCCTGCTGATAGGGTAGAGCTGGGGGCCATGAGAGCATTGTGTCTGCTCTGCCAGTCCACTAGGCTTACCTATACAGGGCTCCTCAATGACTCTGAATGATCTTAACACTCCTGAGCAGCAGCAAGATGTGGAGGATCTGGAATAAATTGCCTTTGCTTTTGATGCCAAGATAAAGGATCAAAAGGTGAATGGCTAACTACCTCTCCCATGAATGCTTTTGCCAGTTTTATACACAAATAGTTCATTGGATTCTTTGATTAGTTTTGTTATTTTTCAGGTATTGCTATTTTTCTCCTTTCCTTCTACAGAGTATAAAACCAGAAGCTGTATTCCTAAAATGGTAACTGACTACCTTCAAAAGAAAATCAATATAGACCCACTTATAACCCATAAATTGCCTTTTGAAAGTATCAATAAGGCATTTGAATTGCTCCAAGGTGGACATTGGTGAGTATTTGTGTGTGTGCATGCAAGTGCACACATACATACATCTGGGTGTCTGTGTCTGTGTATCTTACACATGCAACTTTTACCCAAAATTTTATAAAACATGAGAGGGCATAGATCAAGTGTGAAAGTGGGCAATTGTGAGAAATGGTTTAGGGGGCAGCAATAAAAGAGCTGTGAGTCTGTTTTGAAGAGTGCCCAGGCCTCCATTCAGTCACTATGTAGCCCAAATGGCTGCTTTGGCCTGTGCCACTGCTCCTGTTTACAAAATGGGGATTAAGGTTCCTGCTCTCTTGAGAGACCATATGAAGAACAAATGTAAAAATAAAAATGATCAGTGAAAGAAAAAGCACTGTGAAAATAAGTTTTCAGTTTAAGTGCTAGCATATATATGACAAAGAGATTAAAATGTAAATTGATTACCAAACTGAAAAGCCCAAAGTTTTAAAATGACCTTTCAGCATAAAATTAAGTAGCTACAAAAAAACCCTGCTTTTATGGGTTTATTTTCAATCACAGTTTACTATTTGACATTTCATAAATATTTCCAATCTTCATACATTCATGAAGCACCTAAGAGTTTGTGCTAGACACACTGGCAAATCTAATCACTGCCTTTAGGTCATTGCCCATTTGGCCCTTGAATGCAACATGCTGAATACATGAATAACTGCAGCGTGGAGCTAGATGTGATGCCAAAAATTCAAAACTCAAGATTCAGGGGAAAGAGACCTCATTTCTTAATGAATAGAATAGGATGATCCCTCAGGAAGAAGGTATCCATTGGCCTTGGGAACTTGTAGGTCTATAACAAGAAGAATCATCAGAGTACAAGGCATCGTAGAAATTGGGACTGTATACAAGAACCCAAATAGTGAAAAATCCAACATGCAAGGAAGAGTTCATTCTTGTATAGAGTAGTAAATATAAAGATTTTGACTCCAAAAATATTTTCCTTATACAAAATTAAAATGCAAGAACTTTTACACCTGAAGAGAACCAGATCTCCTTAGGATATTACCTTGCCTTTCCTGAGCCTGACTATATGATATTGCTGTGAAATCCCACCTTACAGTTTTTTTAAATAAACCAATAATAAAGTTTGATTGAAATTATTAAAAGTGCATTGACTGGATTGACTAGAATTAACTCAGATCTAAAAATCTGAAAAACACAGATGATGGGTTGTGTCACCTTGAAGAAAATTTCCAGCTCTATGATGCCACCTGTGACTTTATGTATATAGAGATCAAAGCAAATGAGACAAGAGCTATGTTTCCTATAACAATGTGACCCAAACAGATTCACAGAATTTTTTAATTGACCCTTAATTAGCAAAACATTGTTTGTGGAATGTTTTAGCTAAATATTCCACTCCTGTACCCAGATACTACTCAAATAAATGCATTTCATTGGTCACTAATAGTGAAAGAGTATATGGGGTAAAAATGAGAGTTCATAACCCACTTGAATCAAATATATGAAATATGGTATGTCAAGAGCTTTATAATGTTTTGAACAACTCATAAAAAATAGTGAAAGAGTATTAAAATCCATTTATCATTTATCCTAGAGAAATAGAAGATTGTTACATAATACACAGACTTTCATGCATATTTAATTTGTGTTCTCAAAAATATTAAAGACCCAAATCACCCAACTTGTAGCAGGTGGAATTGCATAATGCCATCTGATTTTTTAAACAAATGCGATAGTCATTTTGCTAATTTACAGAGCATGTTTTTATTTATAGGTTGACCACTTTTTCATAGTTTGCAAGCATAAAAAGAACAGAAAAGTTGCCACTTCTGCCCTTCCCATTGATTCTGAAAGGTGGTTACTACAAATAAGCCCCA